CTTAAACATCATGTATCGTCTTGAACATCATATAATATGAATAAACATATTTCATAAACTGAAATTTACGAGAAAACAAAGTAATTTATATTGCTGTCATATATGTTGCCAGCTTCAATGTGTCCATATAGATTTAAGTGAATGCTCTATCCTAGGGGACATTCATACTAGAAAAACTAGTGAAATTAGCAGCAACTAGCAGCGACTAGCAAGCACTAGCGTTTTATAGTCCAAAGCAAATGAATTGAGGCATGTAAAATATATTGTAGCATGCGTAAGTTGCTTGCAAACGAACCAAGTGAATAGCGGAGACGCACGAAAACGAAGTGAGTGAATAGCGACAACGAACGTTGTTATCCGTTGCCGCAATATTGTGCGTCTCCGCTATTCACTTGGTTCGTTTACAAGCGACTTAAGCATTACTGTTGTTTCTTTTATGTATCATACGATACGTCTAGGTTATTTCAAAACACTAGAAAAACTAGCAGCTACTAGCAGCACTAGTGTACTCACTAGTAATACTAGTAAGTGATTAGCGAATACGTAAATAAAACTAGCTTACTAGAATTGCTACGAATGTCCCCTAGGCTCTATCGATCCGAAGCGAAATTAATTTCAAAATTGCAACCTACACTGGTGAATGTTTCCAAATTTAAAATTGCAACACCAAAGCCCGAATAATGTATTTGTACTTGTGAGTTTGCCATTGCAACGATGAATGTTTTTTGCAGATCATACGGAAGTGATTGCCAGTTGCAGTCATAAAATACGTCTGCCATTTTCTCGAAACTGTAGTTGGCCTGTTTGCCAAAGTAACAGTATAAGAATAGATTCGAGGTACCGATTATTGCAGCCGACACAAAAATCATAAAATCTGAATCAAGATCTTTGAGTTCCTGAAATTGATGGACGCATCATATTTTTGTGTAAAAATACACGCTTTCATAAAACCCATACCATATCCAATTGAAAAATAGCACATGACAACAACAGCATGCTATAAATGAGTTCAATCATAACGAATAAACTGTAGATTTCGGCTGTGTGTGCAAACCAGCTGTACGGAATTTCATTTTACAAAATAACATCCCAAAGATACTTCATCAAAAAAACTAACCCTCGCACCGTACTATGAAATTGAAAGATATTGTAAACGAATTTTCTGTTGTTTCGGCTAACATCAGGTCGATTCAATTTGTTCAGTGACTGTTCCAAAACTTTGAAAAAATGTTGATGATGCAAACACATTGAAATAAAAAGTAACAAAATGACACCATTTAATGCAAAGTAAGAACCGCCCGCAGCAAATGTGCTAAAAAGTATTTCACCAAAGTATCCAATTGGTGTTGATTGATTCCATGGTAAACTGATAAAAGAAATTCATTCAAAAATATGTTATTCTTTCCCAATAAAAAAAATGTCGACTGAAAGTGCTCACATAAAACTGTATGGCACAAACACGAGATCCCGATCAAATTCCCCTTTGTCCATATAACAAACGATAACCGATTGTACACTTGTGAATAACGTGTTTACAACAAAACCACCGACAACATATTTGAAATAAATTCGCCATGCATATTCGCTTTTATCGTTTGCTTCCATCAAAATTGTAAACGAATCTTCTTCATTTTTATCTAAATCAAATAAAGGGCGGAATTTTACAAATAAATGTGAACCAGCTTTGGCAAATAAATCTTACTTGCGTCGTAGATGTCTTGTAACATTCCGAAAATGGTCGGTATTTCGGTGCGCAGCAAAAAAGCAACAATAATCACATAGATCATAGCCAAATGAGCCAACGATACGGAAAATGCAAATAAACTGTGCTCCAAATCGGACATTAGATATCTCAACATGAATGCCAAACCAACACTAAACACAACCACTTGCATTGCAATCACAATCAACGTAAAAATAAAATGGATTTTTCGCATTGCATTACTAACGGTATCATCTGGCGGATACACAGACAACCACATCAAAACTAATCTTGCCGTCGGTAATGCATCCATCGCTTTCAAATAAAGTAAAATGATGTTAAATCAGAAACATGCGTTTTCACACTAATCACAGTTTAAAGCATTCCATGGGTTTTATAGCAAATGTTTCTTCTATTTTCAGTGGGGAACAAGGTCCCAATTAAGATGGGGGGTATATTATCGAAAATATAGTTATATAACAAACACTTTTGTGCACAAATAAACTGTTTATATTTATTCCGACACATGCCACACGAATGAAACAAGTGGTGTTCGAGGATCTTTTTTCTCAACAATTTACAGTTAAGAAGAAAATTCTCTATGAAATATCGTTGAAATAAAAATTATTTTAATGAGGAAAATGGTTCGAAACCGTGTTGTCCGAAAATGAACGCGAGCGTTTATTACAAATAATTGGTTCAATCGCTTGGATATAAACTGAATAATAAATGCTAAAAAGCGGTAACACTTATTCCATTTTCTTATTTATAATAGACGAGAAAATTTTAAGTAAAACTGCTGAACAAGCAGACCAAAACAATTTATATCATTAAATATTTCAAGCCAACAAACACGTAAAGAGACTGTTTGACGTCTAATCGGTGATGAAAAGATTGGCGCCGGATGGCTGCGTTGGACAAAAATTGCTTTTTCACCTTTCCATAAAATCTACAGTCTACACACACAAAATGTAAATCCCAAACATTATCGCAACCGAAGATTTATTCCTTTTGATACCAAATTTTATAATCGAAATTCGACGGTTTATGGTAACCTTTATTCTGCTTTGCAATAATGTTCAGGAATGATATTTTGTGTGTGTGTGTCCAAGCAATGTATATCACTGTCGAATGTTGTTCTTTTTAGAATTTTGTCGCATTTTATTTGCGGTTGAAATGCTGTAGATATAGCTTTAATCAAGAATTTCGAATTATTGAAAGAATATGCTCCTTTTTGTGTGGATAATATTGCAGTAAAAAATTTCAAAAATTCATTATTATACATATAGAGTGAAACTGTGCGACAACGAAACCTGTTCATTCACTTTCATTCTTTTTCTTCTTTTCATTTATCAAACAGGAGGGATATGAATGTCAATGCTGTAGCGGATTTGCTGGATCACATTGCGAGGAAATCGATGCTTGTTTTCCGAGTCCTTGCACAAACAATGGCATTTGCGTTGATTTATCTCAAGGACACGATGGAAATTCGTATCAATGTCTGTGTCCGTACGGTATGTTCAGTTTTTTTTGTTCTTTTTTGCCTTTTTTTCCACTTCATTCGCTTTGTTATTAATTTTGCTTAGCCATATTTGATGCCATCAAATTGATGGAAACAATGGAGAGAAAAGGAAAGAGTGGGTAAGGTTATTGAATGAACAACAGCTCAGCAGCAAAGATGGAAAAACAAACAAATAACAATGAATTCAAGCTTCGTTGCATGGCATTTTGACTTCAATTTTCTTCTAAATTAATGTTGATTAAGTGCTAAGTGCACACTTTCATTTTGCTGTCGTCAGTGTGCATTTTCCATCGTTGTTCCGGTGTTGACTAAAGGAATATGAATTTATTAAGAAATGAACGATTGAACGGATCACTAAAATTCAAATGAGCCAATTTTCGACATCATCACTGAAATGAGCAAGAGAAGGAAAAAAAAGTATGCATATTTTCTGTGTCAAAACCCAATTTCACGCATAATGGTTCCAATATTGATTTGATCAATGTTTCCATTTTCCGTTTTATTAATGTATTATAAATTAATCGACATATAGCGAATTTATGAAACTTACCTTTTTAACATTATCATTAAATGTGAGTTTATAGCGTTATAGCAATCTCATCCACGATCTGATTTTCACGAAAATGCTCGTTTTCATTGTACGAGATTAGAATTAACGAAGCGTCGATGAATCAGCGAAAAATATTCGATTCGGGCCATCGTCACCTGTTTTTATCTTAACACATAATGAGAGAGCACATTGAAGCCGATTCCATAGAACTAATTTCATTTTCGTTGTAATAAGCTGACTGGTAAAAGCGATGCCATTGCACGCTTTGAAATAAATTAAGCATTTAATATTCATTTGTGTATGCGCGGTAATAAAGAAATTTTCTTGTATCGCAAACACACCGGCTTTGGATTAATAAAATTTTGGTGTGATACAACAGTGTAAACAGTCTGTTTGCATAAAGTGCAGGGCCATGTAAAAGTAGCGGTGAAAACAAACGATGAATCGAGATGGAGGGAGAGAGAGAGAGAGAAATCTGGAAAATGGAATTACCCATTGAAAGCGTGCAACAACATAAAAAAGATAAAGCAACTTGCGAAGCAAAATTGAAATAGGAAAAGCGAATGTGTGTTTGAGAGAGAAAGAGAGAAAAGTTCGTAAAAACGGTGTCAGCGACCGTGTGCATGTATCGTGTGTTGTTTATCTCATATTCATAATTTTGTGTTGTCGAGTAAACAAGCATTGCATAACTGATTCTCTGTCCCATGAAAACGATTCCAATTAAAATCACAAATTATGTGCTCTGGCGCTCTTGTTCATTCGGCAAACATTGCAGCTGATAAACAGCAGTAACGATCCTCCGCAAGCGATTAGCGCTTTTTTCAAACCACCGCTCACCTCTGTGTCGTTGTACACATTGCATGTAGTTAATAATAAAACTGAAAATGTGCTCATATGTGGGACATAGTTTGGTTTTTCATAATCACAAACAGATACAGAGATAGAAAAAGAGAGAGAGAGAGAGGGGGAAGGGCAGAAGAGAATCAAAGTGTGTATCGTTGAATGCGTTTGCAAATGTAAAATATTTCTCATTATTATTTAAAATTGAATTTTCCATCTTTCGTTGTCGTCGTTGTCGTCGTTGCTGTCGGTGAGTAGAAAAGCCATTTCATACAACTGAGTTTAACACAAAATTCAAATTTGCACCGGTTCACACCTAGTGTGGTTTTACTGCGACGCTTGTCTCATTTTTTTACTCGTCTCCCATTCACAACATCGACTTTACAGTAGATTTTCACGCATTATCACAATTTGCAAATAGTTTGGCGTTTGCATGGGTGTAAAAGTGTGGTTGAGCTGGTGAAAAAAGCGACAAAATCCATGTTAACGCTTGAAAACACACATATATACCAAGTCATTGAAATCATAGTCGTGCAAAAGTAATAAAAGGTTTGCGGTGAAACGACAATGACATATCGTTTTACATGGAATGAAGACCCGCACTTATGAACTTTTCTAAAGACTCAACGAAAAGCTGTACGCGCAACAACAAAAAAATATACGAGAGAACCACGTGCAGAAAACTTTAATAAGCAACCGCTGCATGAAGGGCGGAGACGAAAAAAAAATACTGAAATTTAATGAAAAATTAATGAAACCGAAGGGCAAAACGAAATGAGTGTTGAAACACGCGCTTTAACACTATGTCGAATGTTAGAATCACCAACAACGATCACGGCAACGAACGTCTAAATAGATTTTCACATCGATGCGTGTTTTTGTTTGATTTTTTCTCTCTCTCTCGCTTCAAGTTGGAGAGTAGTCGAAAGCTTAACGGAATACCATTTGAGACAGAAAGCAATCAGTTTTCAAACTTACATACACTGCGCCCAACACAAACAGTTAGACATGTGAAAACAACCGCAGGCATTGAAAAACAATTCATTGCGGCATTTTTTTCTATTTCTTTCACCCTCACTCTACTTAAGACAGAGAGAGTAAAAACGAACCAATTTCTAGTCACTGTACGAATGCTACAGTACATTCAATCTCAATTTAAAAAAGTGAAATGAAGAAAAAACAAACGCCACACACACATAGAATAGAAGAATTTACCCGAAGACATCTTTTGCGAAAGTACCAATGTTTAAAGAGGAAAGTTTTCGTCGTAAACTTAATCTTAAAATTCAATTTTCACATCTGTATGCATTACACGATCACGTTTTGTGTCATCTCTGCTGTTCTTTTTCCCTCAAATGTCTTTCTTTCGATTTTTTTTTGTATTTCAGTCAGCATTTCATTTGCACCTTTTTGCCGCAAGAAAACGGATGCCTGCAAACGGCAAACCGATGAATTTTCTACATTTGTGTATGTCCGTCTTTTTTCGCCGACGCCGTCATCATCATTGCACATTGGAAAAAGTTCAAAGTTTTACAGTCACATTGACATATAATGTAGTACTTTAAATGTACAAAGCAGATGACGATTTGAAACTCATGCCATTTAAATGTTTTTCTGAAGAAAGAGGAAGGGAAGGCCTTTCTTAGAGAGGTGCAAAAAATCAAATGAGCCTGTTGGATGGTGGCAGAAAAAAGTATCTAGTCATCACGGGTTCCGAATGTTTTTTTTTCCTTTTCTCCACTACAATTAGTTTTCGCCATGAAATCATGTTCCGTTTTAGCGAAATCAGATATTCAATGTTTGTTACATTATTTATGAATGGTGAAACCGCCAACATTGACAAAGACACGGAATGAACAAAAAAACGAAGTCGGCTGGAGATTGCCCGGCAATCATTGCATCTGTTCATTATGTAAGCCAAAGCCAGATCGTTTTGTCTCCGCCTCGCTCTCTTTCTGTCTCCCTGTCTTTTTTTCTCTCTGTGTGTGCACGAAGAAGGAATGTGAGTCACTTTTTCGACAGAAAACCTAAAGAACTTGATGATTGCAAGAATGAACGTGACGAGACTCATAAAAATCGTCACTCACACAAATGCATGCACGTTTATTTTATTCAATTTTGTTCTCATCGTGTGTTTTTTTCTTTCGAATTTTTTTGGTGCGCTTCTCTACTTCGGGTTCGGTTTTTTGTATCAGTGAAAAGTCTGAGCACAATTCCAATGGTCAAAACTAAGGCCGAAAAAAAAATTGGCTCAAACATACAATTTTTTTTAGACATGAGAAGATGAACCAAACAAGTTGAATTGTTAATGTTCCAGAAGACATGAGAAGCATGAAAATTGAATAAAAACCTTCAAAATAATTTCATTTCAAATATATTTATCTTGGTTTACCAGATACCATTTCGGTGAGCTCGCGTGTGTTTCCCACGTAAATAATTGAAAATCGAAAGATGTTCTCTGCCATATTCATTTTAATTTCAGATTTTCTCGCATATTTTGTAATCATTTTGAAGCACACTCACGGCAAGTGGCTGCCATAACCATCACAGTCTTCACAATCTTATGAAGCGAATTTGACGCGAAATTTATGTTTTTCCGCAACTTTATATCAAGTATATTGAATCATATTTGATTCGGAATGTTATTTAAATTAAGTTTCCGTTACCTGTTCAAATTGTGAACATCAGAAACAGCAAATTTTTGTCTTAGCGTCTAAGAGGAGGGAACGAGAGAGAGAGAGAGCGAATAAAGGAAATGAAGAAACGTGCATGTGAATTAAAATTGGAATGTGTTTTCAAAGACGAAAAAAGAGCATGGATGCGTATATAAATATTTGTGAGAAAGAAATGTGTACGAGTTTTTTTCTATTTACATTCTCGTCACTTGTAAGACAGAAGTGTGCTGCCGTCGTCGTTGTCTTCGTCGAGTATTTCAAACACAATAAGGATACCAGTGACTTAAATACACAGATAGCAAAGTCGTGACAATTGTGCATATATGTGAATTTCGTCTCAATTTTTTTTTTCTGGGGATAGATGATTTGAACGGGATTAAATTTTAGTTTCAAAGGGTTGCTTTTCGCTAATGCAAAGCTTCATCGATTCATCTTCAATCACATAAAAATCAATGATTGCCCGCAAAACTAGTTTCGGGAATGGTGGCAATTGAATGTTAAAAGTAAACATGGCACCAGCAGCCAGAAATCGTGACATCCGAAAAATTGACGAAGACACACACAAACACACACAATTCTGAAAGATGTTATCGAACAGAATCCAAAATGGAAAAGCATAAATATACATGCGATGTATCAAAGTTAAAGGAAGCGAAGCAATTGCGTTGCTTCGGTAAATAAAACCGCCGAGAGAAAATATTATTGAAAGAAATGATGCAGAGATTGAAAACAGCAACAGACACACATCGCAAACAAAAAACAGACGACATTGAAGATGAGCACCACGAGAAGCATTGAATTCAAAGTGAAAAGTATTTGAGTGAAATTTTCATGTCGTTTCAAAATGGGACGCGTCTGATATTGGAACGATAAATTTCCGATGCAAAAATTGGCAAAAAAAGATTTGCGTTAAATGTGAAATCAGTCGAATCACATGCTCTCACTTGTTTTCCATCAAATCAGTTTTGCTACAGAAGTTTGGAAGAAGAACGTTTCGATGCGTCTTTCCCTTCTTCCCATCTGTACGAGAACGTGCACAACAAATTCAATTGAAACAG